TTGGAGAGCAAAAAATAAAAAGTCGAAAAGCTAATTGATTAGTGTCTGAGTTGTCCTTAAGATACAAGTGTCATTATACTTCTTTTGGTGTTCTATATTAGTGTAAAATAGGACTGTAAAAACACTATAAAAATAAAACATTGAGTCTTGAATGGAAGAGGAAAGAAATGTTCAAGTTTACCTCAAAACATACCATATATATGCTTTGAAATATGTTGTATTCACGGTGGCTTCTTGTTGAAGCCATCACCTGTTTAACTGGAGCTGGAAGATAGCTGGCCAAGAGAAAATAGGCATGTTTTTGAGAAGAGATGCATTATCTGCTATGTGAGCTTTTCCTCACTATGACAAAATACCTGAGAAAAACAACTTTCATAGTAGAGTAGGGAGGGGGAGCATGGGAGGAATAGATGAACTCTAGATACGGCAAAGGGGTGGAAGGGAAAGGGAGGGAGTAGGAGGTTAGCAAGGATGGTGGAATGTGATAGACATCATTATCCAAAGTATATGTATGAAGAAACAAATTGGTGTCAACATATTTTATATACAACCAGAGATATGAAAAATTGTGCTGTATGGGTGTAATAAGAGTTGTAATGCATTCTGCTATCATTTATTTTTTAAAAATCAATTAGAAAAAAACTTGAAGGAAAAAAGATTTATTTAAACTCAACGATTTCAGAGGTTCCAGTCCATAGTTGGCTGGTTCCATTATTTTAGGCCTGAAGTAAGGCAGAGTAAAACTCACCTTATGGCCACTGGGAAGCAGAGAGAGGGGCCCCGGGGCTGGGGTCGGGGGAGGCCATGAATAAGATATACACTTTCAGGGCATGCCCAATAACCTGTTACTTCCTCCAGCTAGGCCTTACCTCCTGAAGTTTCCACCACCTCCCCCAGAAACTCATCACCTATGAATCCCTCAATAGATTAATCCACTGAAGTTAGAGCCCTCTCAACCTAGTTAGTATATACTTAGAGACACATCTCTGAACCTTTTTGCATTGGGAACCAAGCCTTCAATATATGAGCCTTTGGGGGACATTCCTCATCCAAACCATAACACCTGCACTCTGCACTAATAAGTCCTTCAAAATCTTTTTGAAGAGGAGGCACTATAGAAGGGTAGCAAGAATATAGGCCTTAGAACTTGACGTGCCCGGATTCAAATCCTGGTAGTTATGATTACTTGGTTTATAAGAATCATTTTCCTTGTCATTAAAATGAGAACACTACAGAAGTTTTTAGTTTTTATGAGGATTTAATGATCTATCATTTAAAAAATCCTTGGTATATAGATGTTAGACAAATGTTTCTAACTATTAAGAAAAAGATTGTAGGACTGGGGCTATAGCTCAGTGGTAGAGTGCTTGCCTAGCATGCATGAGGCACTAGGTTCCATCCTCAGCACCACATAAAAATAAACAAATAAAATAAAGGCATTCTGTCCATCTACAACTACAAAAAAA